AATAGTTCTTGCTCAAATTTATACCACTATTTCCTACATTTAACGAATTACTTAATCTATTTGTTTCAATAGTCCTGTCTTTTTTATAATAGCGGGCGCACCATAAAAAGCAAACCTATTCGTTTTACATCATTCTAACTGAGGTATAGTCTCTGCCATGTCCCAGCTGTCTTTACAAGCAATTTTGTGTTGGCAAATAGGCCGAAATGCCTCTCCAACATCAGATCGACCACAGGATCACACAATATTGTAGGAGTTGTATCTCGATAATAGGTAATTTTTCTCTAAGAGATGGCATAGCCGAAGAATGACTTATCTGATCATTCTTTTCATCCCTTCGAATCCCTTTATCATGCAATTTCATACGAAATGTAGGTCGCCCTAAATATGTCATCATAGAAAGTTTTTCAAAACCTAGCTATTCTTCATATCTACAATTAACTAATATTCATCAATACATGTTCAGCAAAAAATTTCACTTTCTGGGTGTTTGAGTGGTCTGAATAAAGTCTCAGAAAGTTATTTGATTGATTTATTAGATGCGACTGCATAGGGGTAAATTTTAGGCTGTATCCCTTATTCTAAAATAATCTGGCTCCAAAATTCAGCTACTAAATACAAACCGCATAGAGTCTATCAAGAAAATGCTGGTTTCGAATAATCTTCTGAGATATGATTGATGTGAATATTTTAATTTCGTATGCAAGTAAATGATGAAGAGATTCATGAGTCAAGCTTGCTGGGAGACGTCGGTTATACTACAGCCATTTTGAATTAATACGGCATTCAGGTTGATGCAGTCCACGAAACATACTCCAATGATTCAGGCGAAGGTGGGCTGAGCTCCCCTTCGCCATGTGACGAACATTGTCAGAGGTAAGACTCATTCTTACAAAAGCATCAAGTTAACACTAAGTCATCTCAATTGCTCTTACGATTTTCGTTGCATGACGGCCGAAAGCTCAATCCGTCTTCGCCCGAAACGTTGGAGGATGTCTCGTGGACTGCATCAACCTAAACGTCGTAATAATGTCAAATGGCTACAGTACAATGTGAATCAACCGAAATCTCCTGATGAGATCGACGTACGAATATCTTCATCATGTACTAACATACGAAATGAAAGTCTTCACACCATTAGCACCTACCAGTCCATCTAAATATCTCAATCCGGATAGATTGGATAGAAAAAGATTATATTGACAGGAAACGTCTGTGGATTATTAGGGTATAAATACTGACGGACCAATATGAGGCAGTGCGAAACAGGAAAAATAGCAGACGGGACTAGTCAAGCTAATATGCGTGATTAATGATGAGTTCAGGGACATTTAATTGCATATCAGTGGGATTCGAGGCTATTCATGTTTTGCATGAACCAAGGTGTCAGTTTAAAGCTCGCATGATTTTAGCTACAGAATGGTGACTATCAAGATAAGGATTAACTGATGGCTAGGCCGCCCCGTTTTCTGAGCAACCGTAGCCAGACTCGCGTAGGCAATCACTAGCTGGGTCAGAGGTGATTGAGTTGAAACTAGCAGTAGACTGTTTTCGAAGAAGCAATTGCTGGTGCAACTGGTAGCCCTCTTCAGCGCCAACGGGAGCTAGATTGATCACCGGAATTGTGCCTTGAAGATAGAACAAAAATGAAAAATAATGAAATCTTGCCTGGGTTTAGAAGTTATCGTGAAGGTCGTGTGGCCTATACTTATCTCTGAACATTTAAGTGAAATTTCAATGATATAGTGGGTGGGAGTGTATTTGGTGCTAGCACTTCGGATGCATGACGCATTGACAATTTATGCGAATCTAGGCTAAAAATCATAGGCAGAAGCACTAGTAAGTACCAAATGAAAATCCAGTAAATTGTACGGTTCCAATCTAATGAGATTGCAGATTAGCTTAAGAAAGGTTCTAAAATACGACCTGGTGTGCATAATGTGGTAAGTAAATTAAAAGTTCTTGTTCAGTCAATTGTGAGCATCTTCGCTGGCATATTGTTAATTGTTTATATGGACATCAATAACATGGTAATAATTTCCTATCATAGGTAGGTTGAGTGTCACATCGATATTTTAAGTACAGCTACTTGAAATAGTGATCAGTATAAAAGTTTATTTAATTGAAAGGCATTGATAAACAGGATGCTGCGATGGCTTTGGTGCCATATAGCTGTATTATAATAATATAATAATCTTGTTAAAATAAGAATGAGTACAAACATATCCCCTTACCTGTTGCATAATCGGGTCGAGCTCGATTAAGCACTTTGAGAAACTCTGTTGTCTTCGCTCTCATACGCATGTGAATGTAGCCCTTAGAGCATTTGATGTGATAATGAAGATAATTGCGCAGCATATGTATCATATTGATAGTT